AAACTTGCTACAGCCAGGCTATACATGAGTTACACAGCTTAAGACTGCTTACAGGCACGTATACTGAGTTACACAGCTAAACTGCTTACAGACAGGTATACTGAGTTTCAACAGCTAAGACTGCTACAGCCGAGTTTACTGAGTTACACAGCTAAGACTGCTACAGCAGGTATACTGAGTTTACATCAGCTAGACTGCACGCAGCGTCTACTGAGTTACACAGCTAAGACTGCTTTTACAAGCAGGTATACGTGAGTTACAGAAACAGCTAAGACTGCTACAGCACAGTTACTACTGAGTTAACACATGCTGAATTGACACCTAGCGTACAGCAGGTCTACGATAGTTAACACCAGCTATAGACTGCTACAGCACGTCTAATGAGTTAACACAGCTAAGACTGCTACCAGCAGGTATTATGGAGTGTACAACAGCTAGACTGTACAGCAGGTAATATGAGTTACACAGCTATGAAGACTGCTACACGCAGTATACTGAGTTACACAAGCTACAGACTGTACAGCAGTATTACATGAGTACAAGCGGGAAGACTGCATACAGCAGGTAAATGAGCTTACACAGCTTAAGACTGCTACAGCAGTTATAATGAGTTACACAGCTAAGACTGCCTTTACAGCAGGTATACATGAAGTTACACAAGCTAAAGACTGACTTAGCAGAAGGTATGATGAGTTACACAGCTAAGACTGCTACGCAGCAGGTCATTAGCTGAGTTACACAGCCTAAGATGGCTACAGCAGGCTATACTGAGTTACAACAGCTAAACTGCTACAAGCACGGTATACTGAGTTACACAGCTAAGACTGCTACAGCACGATATACTGAGTTAACATCAGCTAACAGCTGCTACAGGCAGGTATACTGAGTTACACAGCTAAAACTGCTACAGCACGGTATACTGAGTTACACAGCTAAGACTGCTACAGCAGTCTACTGAGTTACACAGCTAAGACTGCTACAGCACGTATACTGAGTTACACAGCTAACGAACTGCTACAACGCACGTAATACTGAGTTACACAGCTAAGACTGCTACAGCAGGTCTACTGAGTTACACAGCTAAGACTGCTACAGCAGGTATAATGAGTTGGCTGATTAACTAAATTTTCCATTACCTCAAAGTTTTCTCGACGAGTCCTGTAAAGGTTTCAGCTGGTACAGCTTTGTCAGCAGGTTTCACTTGGCCTCTATTTATCATCCACAGCCTGCACAAAGAACATAGCATCGTCATCATCACCATCACCAACGCCGTCACCAATGCGTCATCCTTGGTCCACGCACTACCATCACCATCGTCAATCCTTGTCACCACTACCATCACCATCACCAACGCCGCACCATCGTCATCCTTGTCACCACTACCATCACCAATCACCAACGCCGTCACCATGCGCATCACTTGTCCACCCTACCATCACCATCACCAACCGCCGTCACTATCGTCATCCTCGTCAACCCACTACCCTCACCAGTATCCTAAATCGTAATAATTAATCCTAATATACATGCGTGGTCACGCAGTCACTATCTCAATCCGTTACCTTGATCGTTAGCTATCATGAGTTTGCTGTTAAACACTGTGTATTTCATCGAAATACCTCACCATTACCATGAACACAACTCTGCATCACCACTGACGACTGTCATGGAAACACTACTAGCAGCAATTACCTGCCAGAAGAAGAAGTTTGCAGCTTATCTCATCAGTGACCTGAGTCTCCTTGTTGAGGGAGAAGAAGCCATTTGCGCAAGGCAATACAAGTAGACGTAGCAGTTAACTGTAGTTCTGTAATGTACAAGTTGTGTGGACTCCCCGCCGGTAGCTTTCTCTCTGAGAGAAATAACGAGAGCTACATGAAGAATGTGCGAGTTCAATGCTACTGTTAGTTACAAGTAGTATTCGCTAATGCTATTCGAGTCACGCAAGCTTTAAGACACACTTTGAGGATGGACAATAAGTGAATAACATAACGATCTAGGGAAGAACATGGCGTGAGGATGGACAATAACATAACGATCTAGGGAAGAACATGGCGTGAGGATGGACAATAACATAACGATCTAGGGAAGAACATGGCGTGAGGATGGACAATAACATAACGATCTAGGGAAGAACATAGGGACAAGGATGAGACTATGACTGTAATATGTGATGTGTCACAGGCAGGTAGCGTCAGGGGATGTACGTGAGAGAGATGCAATCTGTAGTTAGGGTCTTTTGACAGATAACACATGACAAACAACTTACTTACCGAGTAACAGATATCACTGTAAGGTGTAATGTATCGCCACCGGACTTGATAAGATCCACAACCTGCTTGTGTGTGGCACCCTCCACATTAGCATCATTTCTAAAAAGAGAAACGCAGAAATTCTTTAGGCAGCTTTTAGCATTATTTTCATATTCATGAAGTAAAGTAGGGTTTATCTTGACACTTAAATTTAACTGAAAATAATGCTGAGAGCAGTAGTATTATTCCTGAAAATGTTGATTTATGGCAATATATGGAAATGTTTTTAATGCGTCTACCCACGAATAATGATACAAGTACATAATACACATGGTACATCTTTTCATCACATTTTCATGACTTCTTACACTCATGCATCCAAACACTCTCACATACATAAAGTCATACACCTGTCAAGTTAATTAAGAATTATGTGTTAATTGTCTGAATGTGGATCATAATAAAAAATAACACCATTCACTCATGTCAGCAATTGTACAAAGTATGACACATATACCAAATTGACATTTTATGTGGTCATTCCAACAGCTATTCTGTTCTGTAGGGAGCACACACAATTCAGCCACTATTTGTGCCACTTATTTTACACTTCATCAAGAGCTAATAATACCTAGAGTGTACAACGGAAAAACGGGTTAAATAGTGCTATTTCACGACATGATTATTCTACTTTGCCTGCGAGTCTAGAATAATTTTATGGTACTGCATTAAGCAGAATTCTTTGCTATCTAAAACAAGACCAACCGCTTGTCAATACGATACTCCTAGGCTGAGATATTGGCTCCTAAACCTCCCCTCCCACAGGCATCACAGCGCCTCGAATCCACATCCAGCAGAACAGGCAAATAGAAGCTGTCCCTGCAGTTGTCATTTGCCCATATTATTATTTTTGGCCAATAAGCCTATAACTTATGAGGTACATGATTTACTTGCCTAATTTCCATGTACCATATACACAGCAACACCTATCGTTTACCTTGTTGCCCCTGCACTAGTACTGAAGCTACGTGTTGCCAGGTAACCCACTGCACTTACTTATTAATATTAACACATCCTAGGGCTCATAGGGGTCTATGTCCCCCAGGGTACTGCCGGAACGTACCCTGGGTACGATCCAACATACCGGAACGTACCCTGGTAACTATCTGATATGGTTAGGGTTAGGGTTAGGGTTAGGGAGTAGGCGTAGGCGACTCCCTAAACTCGTTAGTGGAGTAGGCGAGGTACGGTCCGGCATATTAGATAGTACCAGGGTACGTTCCGGCAGTAACCTGGGGGACATAGACCCTCTCAGCCATACTAGGCTATTGTGAATTATAATTATAATAATTAATATTAATATATAACGTAAACAGATGCGAGTACTAATCTGTATTGTAATCATTGACAACCACACGTCGAACCATGACACGGCAAAATGACACGCACAAACATTTTAACCAATTTATTTAAATAAAGCCACACGTTAAAAATATAGCGAGAAGAATTACACTTCGAGAATTCGGTCTCCTTTTCTGATTCCCGCTTTCTGTGCAGCACCGCCCTCCAACACAGCACTAACGTGCTGTAAAGGTGCGTAGAGTTCTCCATTTATGCTTCTCAGCTGACCTCCCTCGCTGACCTGGCCTCTGACATTGAAACCAAACCCTGTTTCAGACTTGGTGATGACAACAACTCTCGGACCGTACAACTCAGATCCATTTTCAGGCGTATGTGGAGGAGAATTAGACTCATCTCCATCGCTGTCCGCCATTTTCGGTCGGGTCGATGCTCAACTGTTTCGGGAGATGATAATCAGTGATGATTGCTTTTAATATAAATTCACCTTCCCAATAAAATTCTGAATTGAAACATATTTACCGCGCGTGAAATAAACATATCGTGTACATATTAACGAATAATTCCACCGTATATGCCGTATTTGGCCAATTACGTGGTCTTTGTCGATTCTAGACTGACGCCTGCCTGTTTATTTCGGTAATAGCTATCTCTAGTTCTATGGAGCCAAGAGGAAAATCTTGTCTATGCTGCTTTTACACTGCCATCTAGTGCCCGCAAGAGTACCTGTATGGCGAGGGCGCTGCGAGCTCCACAACATCAACAAGCCACCAGGTGGGTTAGGAACTTTGATTGTTTACAGTTTATTTGTTGTTTAAACGTTGTAGGTTTTATCATCTTAGTATACATCGCGTCTTGGTCTAGAATCTAGTGTGCTTGGTTTAGCATATGTAACTGTGACACAATCTAAATCGACCCGGCTAATCTATGTGAAAATCTGACCATTAATTACCACCCAGAAAACAACCACCACTGTCACCACCCATCTGCCCCCTTGGGCCTTAGGCCGATGAAAGTTGATTTCATGGTTCTCGTCAGGCATTGTTGAGATTTTGATGAGGGATTTAGATCAACATTCATCTTTCATATACAAACCAATAGAACTTAAGTGAGGGTATCAGGTCTTGTACATATGCAAAATAAGATTGAAAAATGTCGTAACTTCTTTGTTGACAGTTTTTACTCAAATTTTTACTGTTTGTCTTCCATACATGTAGTGCTGACTGTAGATTGTTCATTTTTTGAGGCGGGAATTTCATATGGGGACTTTTTGATGCGGGAATTTCGTCAGCGATGAGTGTTGAACTTTTTTGGTGCGGGAGTAAAATTTGATGCGGGCGCTGACGAGAACCATGACATCAACTTTCATCGGCCTTACTACACTAGATACAATAATGTAACCCAAACCCAGGATAGGGTTACAACGCGTCGCTGTGGTTTTCTGTGGAGGAAATTCAGGGAACCCCTGAGTGAATCACTCAGGGCGGTTTGCTGGTGCGTTTTCAGAGACTAGAACTTCCAAACTGGGTTTATTCTCAACACGAACCTTTCTCCGCTATCTTGGAATTTACTATGTATCACAATACTCTGTATTAAACTAATATAACCTGTTACAAAAATTTGAAGTGACGAGCGGCGAATATACTGAGCGCATTTCTGTTGACCTGTGACGTATTTCGGTTTGAAGAGCGGATTCACCGACCAATCGGAGGGCGCTGCGTTTGCCGATCGCTATGCGCATTGGAAATGCGTACGTCACAGGTGAACAGAAATGGCGCTCAAAATATCCACCGCTCGTCACTTCGAATTTTTGTAACAGGGTATATTAGTTTAATACAGAGTATTGTGATACATAGTAAGTTCCAAGATAGCGGAGAAAGGTTCGTGTAGAGAATAAACCCAGTTTGGAAGTTCTAGTCTCTGAAAACGCACCAGCAAACCGCCCGGAGTGATTCACTCAGGGGTTCTCGATCTGAATTTCCTCCACAGAAAACCATAGCGACGCGTTGTAACCAGGGCTCGAATTAACCGACGGCACCGACGGCAATTGCCGTCGGTGCCCCTATCAATCGCCGTACTGCCCCTGAAAATCCAACCCGACCGACGGCAGTCACCTGCCTTGCCCTTTTGTGTAATTGCCGTCGGTGCCCTTTAATCTACTGCCCTAGTTTCGTTTGTAAAATTTTTTGTTACTGTACTCCATTAGCAGAGGGGGGTACAGGGGTCGGTGTTACGGTGTAAGCTTACATGGGGGCATATTGTTTTGTTGATGTACTAATTTGTTATAAGTTTTCCTTTATTTTACAAAAGTGCCTTTGTGCCCTTCTCAAATTTTGAGAGTTGCCTTGGTGCCTTTTAAAATTGCCTCTGTGCCCTTCCATTTTAGAGAAAATTCAAGGCGATTTCTCACATGCCCTAAAAAAATTGCCTTGCCCTTCTCGTCGCTTAATTCGAGCCCTGGTTGTAACCCTATCCTGGGTTTGGGTTACATTATTGTATCTACCCCCTTACATGCCATGGTACTGCATAATAAACTAGCCAGTATCATTTTACAATATTAATGTACCCAAACGTATTCCCGGGAACATCTGCCTTTGTATTTATCTGGTGGCTGTTCCCTATTACTACCGCCCAATATCTCGTGACCTATCAACCGCATAATGATAAACATAAAACAACTATCACAGCTAATATTAATAATATACTAATATTAATAAATAACAACTAACCGCAGCACCGAGCATAATGACAAAGTCTGTCAGCTAATCAAGTGGGCATCACATGATGCAGTGCTCGAATAAGCGTTGTCCGGTCTGTCCGAACAACCAGAATTTGCGCCGGACAACCTAACCAGTCTGAGACATTGTCCGGTGGACAACCAAGAAAAATGTGACGAAAAGCACTTTATTTATGTTTTTCTCAGGGGTTCTCCCAAGAGCACTTATAGCCTGGTGGCGCGCGCCATTAATCTATGGTGTGGAAACGCGACGCATACCCGCCGGTTTTTCCCACACTCGTATATGTCAGGTTTTACCAGCAAGTTCACCCCTACATTTTGGTATTTTTATTCCATTATTATTTTGAATTTTCCGATGGCTTTGCCCATGCAAAACAAACAGTGGGGATTGTTGATCCGAAAGTAAAAAAAAGAAGAGAATTGTCGTAGTCAGAATGAAGGCTGTACATGTACTCAAAAGTGCCGCAAATACTATCTCCCGCGATCTACATTTTCAAAATTTTCTGGGGGAGAACCTCCATACCCCCCGCTTGTTTTTCACCCCCTCTTTGGAATCCTAGATCCGCCACTGAACAATTACATATCTTGGGAGCAGAGAACAATGAACAAAAATGGTGCCTGTTCGCATGGCACCCAAAACAAAGATTGCAGAGAAGGTAGAGGAGCCGTAGGCTGTGGAGAGGGAGGCGGAGGAGCCATTAAAATATTAAGTCATCCACTATTTTGCGCAGTTTGTTGTTTTTGGCCCCCTTGTTAAAAAATCCTGGCTACACCACTGTTTTTTGGTGTTTTCTGACCATATTATTATGTAATTGAAAATAGGAGATTTGGGGATATTTTTTTGGGACAACCAGAAATTGTTGCGGACAACCCGATTTGATGCCTGGGTTGTCCGCAGGACAACCACATTTTTGTTCTTATTTCGAGCACTGTGATGTAATGTATACAATGGGAATTTACCTTCCAACGTATACTCATAATACCTACAAACCACGACCGCTCGCAATGATGTTTAGAATGACTTAACATCGCGAGGTACTATGAATAAAATTGAGGCTGGAGGTATTAATTAGACCGGATACAGTCCCTTGGGCCTATTCCTGTAAACCGCTATTCTATTCTATATCTTTGCTCTCACTTCTAAGGCATTCGAGCGTATAATTAAATTTATCTGTAATAAGTCACTTTGACTTACATGTCATTCTCACCACCAACAGGGCTACCGACATGGCTTCTCCACTGTTACTTTTTCCCTCTCTGTTACCTCCATATGCATAGACTATAAGGGGTAACAAAATATCTGTTACTACCAGCGTTCGAAATTAGTGCCGACCCGGAGGCCCGAGGCCACCAAGTTTTTGCTTCGGCCGCCACCTCTACGAAACTGCCGGTCCTCCTGACCCGCACTTTTTCCCCTCATATTACGCTGAAATACTACGGTTATCGCAACGGCAGTTTAGACATACTTGTAAATGGGAGCGCATTCTAATACGCTCCGTTCCTGAACGTAGACGGGGTATACAAAACATCCTCCAATCATGATTCGCCACACGAACAAAACCTCGTGACAGTCTAAGAAATTGATTGCAGCATGTAGCGTAGCCCAGTGTTATTATGACCGCATAACAATAAGTTCATATATGTTCATATATAAGTTCATAATATGTCGCAGGGGGCCCGTTATCATGGGGAGTGAGGGCACGACACCTGACACGCATGTAATCAAAGCTGTTAATTGAATTCGTCACTTATTTTTACGTAGAAAGTGGACTATTTTAATTCAGTTAGATATCTAGAAGCAATGTAAACTGTATATTCTTCAAGATTCTAGGCACTTGTAACTTTGCGGATGTGCGGCAGCATTGATCTATGCATGGGGGTACCCAGGACTGGGGAGGAGAAAAAACGAAAGTAAAACGTTTCCCAGAAGCTCCCCCGACATTCCTAGAGCTTGAAATATATTATTTGACCAACTCTATGTTACATGTATGCTGTTAATGCCAATGGTTATTTTTATATATCATTTTGTTACTCACTGCTAGTAAATAGGCGGACCACCAACTTTTGTGTCTTGCACACCTGACTTTCTGAAGTTGGTGGTCCTGCTGTCCACTAGATTTTCAGCCATAATTCGAACCCTGGTTACTACTGATATGTAAAGTTGGTTCTATCGCTTACAGTATCATTATGCAGGTGGTTGGTGTGAAAGATTGTTGGTATAGATGCAATGAAACCTCGCGAACATGTGTCATTTTGTACATATAGTAAAATTTTTACAGACAAGTGCACACAAATATAGGACGGGAGACCCACGTAGACAGACAAAGGTTAGCAACCTGATATGTTATCTTTGAAAAATGCCAATGCAAATAAAATGGAAAACCAAGCGTGCAGCCCAGCTTTGCTGCTGCTTCTCGCTCACCCAGACACACTCACAAAACCCACTAGGTTCACCTCTGTGCCACATATTTGGGCCTCAATGGACCACCTGGCCATTATCAGTTCACTGCTGCATACTGTTACACTACACGCATGCTGAAACATAACCACGCCATTAATTTAGGGCTGGCATAATTCCATCAGCCCACAGTGGTTTGTTAGACTGTATAAGTTGAGCTATTGTTTTTCTTAATTATCACTAACCATTGTTACCTAATAATATTAAAGGCATACTAGGCCCATTGATTATGCAATGTTGACGAATGCTAGAGTAACTGGCACCTCGTGTAGTTAATAAGTACATAACCTATTAGTTTGTCCAATACAACTGCTGGTTACATTACAAGCAAGACTTGAAATCGGTCGTTGATATTCATTTACGTGCCGTAACTTTCATCCAGGAGTCAAGCGATGATGTAAACATTTGTGCGGCCCGTATGTTTTGGACGCCAGATGAAATGGAGGTGTCAGCAGTGTAACCACGGCCATGGACTAAACATGGAAATGGAGTAAAACACACGTACTAATCACGGACACACATGGACAGCCCTGACAAAAAGTTCCTTATCACGAGCGTCTGTGTTTACGAAATCACTGATGATAGCATTGCGTACGGCCGAGCATGCGTGCGAAAATATCCGGTGCACTATAAATCTGTATCACACCTGCTTCGCCGGCAGTGGTTTGAAACTGTAAACAACTGATTTCTTGGACTGCGGATTTCAATTAGACATTTCTTAGTAACCAGCAGTGATATTGGAACAAACTAATATGCGTTTGGATGTAAGGTTATGTACTTATTAACTACACAAGGTGCCAGTTACTCTAGCATTCGACAAAATTGCATAATCAATGGGCCTAGTATGCCTTTAAGTAGTCACTTTTCCTTCAATGTGTTTTGCTCTTTCAGAATGGCTGACATTAGCAGGTCCCGGGAATATCAAAGCTTCAGAAGTACAGTACCACAAAAGAAGGTGATTAAAGCTATAATACGTGTCTAATAATTATTGATTATGGCAGCAAAAGGCCTATATGCAGAATTCAATACTCCTACGCGCTCATCTAGGTTTGGATGGTAATTAACATGGGATAGCACGTGATGCCTGTATCTTTTACAGCTGGTCGTTGACGACGATGACACCAAGGAATGGAAGCTGTTTGACTCTGGGCCTCGTTCTGTAGCCTGTCCACTTCTCTGTCTACCCCCTGCCAGTGGCACTGCAGACATATTCTACAAGCAGATTGTTGCCCTGACTGCTCTCGGCTACCGAGTTATTGCTGTAAGTGATTTTATAGTTGTGACATCTTTACATCTGGGTGTCCTGCTTGTATCCTCACCCTTCTTCACAGAGAAAATTTTACTATTGTATTTGTAAATGTAAGGTAAGTGTTCATTCACAAGTCTTAGAATGGTTAGGGTTTGTAAACGCATATATGTACTAGGTCAGTTTGCCTACGATAACAAATTAGAATGATGATAAAAACTGAGAAAGAAATTTATAACATCTTTTCCTATTGTATTTTTAGGCTGAGTATCCTGTTTACTGGAATCTGAATGAATGGAATGAAGGTTTACGAAAGTTGCTTGACTATTTAAAAATAGACAAGGTCAGTATCAGCCATTAGAACATTACAAAGAGTCTACACCATCACTTATTCTTTTATTGCTTTTTTGTATGGAAAGATTTGTTTAGTAAATAGAGTTTTAATTTTACCGATTCTCGCATCAGTACAATTTTGTTTGTTATTACAAGTTCAATTTCAATTTGTGATGTACTTTTGAGGTTCAGCTTATTTTTTTTATATATATATATATATATATGATTATTGAAACAGACGTGATGTCACACCTGCATACAACTAGATCTATGTCAATAAGAGAATCACCTGTAAAGTTCTGTATTTCATTGAGACCTGTGACTGTGTTCTGCTCTTTGTGAGACTGCACATATGTACTTGTCACACATTCTGCTAAGTAAATATGCAAGGCAGCTGTGAGTTGCAATAAATTTAGTTTCACATATTCAATTGTTCTAGTCGTTGCGCATATTTACCTGTGATACATGTTACCCTTACTACACAGGTGCATATTCACCTGTAATACATGTTATCGTTGACACAATGACCTACATGTGCTCTGCTTAGTAGACAGGGGCCTGCTGTCAGAATATCATAACTTTTGCACAACCTTTCACTTCAAAAGTCATTTTAGAGTTTTAATATCTTAACTATTAATGATGTTTCTGTTGATGGGTGTTAGGTGCACATCTTCGGCGCATCACTCGGTGGATTCCTGGCACAGAAGTTTGCTGAATACACCTTCAGATCGCCCCGTGTTGCTTCCATTGTCATGTGTAACTCCTTCACAGACACATCAGTGTTTGAACAGGCTGACTCTGCACCAGTGTATGTAGACTATATGTACATACAAGTTCAGGCATGCAAGTTCTTGATATCACATTAATGCTTTATATAGGTCCGTGGACTTATTAATTATCTGTGATAGCTACGAAATATACCATTCACATCAGAATTATATTAGATACACGGCATAGTACAATCAGTGTGATGGTGAGGAATAGCATGTGATATTTTGCTTCTCCTGCCTGGCTATATCCTGCCGTCAAATTAGATTCCATTCAAGGTTCGGTGGTTTGCCCTCAAGCCCCTGTCAGTCTATACCGGCACGCCTTCTTTGCTCGTTATTGTCTTGTTATTAGCTCATCTGACATAGTCAGATGCAGCTTGTAGAATCGCATGATCGTCCGTCCGTCCGTCCGTCCGTCCGTCCGAGCGTCCGTCAACAGTTGGGCACAAATCTTAACCGCTCGACGTACGGTCACGATATTCGGCACATTGGGGAGGATC